TAGAATCAAGTTGTAAAAGATATATGCAATCTAGTACATTTGGGTAAATTTTAAAGCACATTGTTCTGGGACCAGAGGAAGGAAGGAGAAGGGATAATACCTTATTTCTCTTTCAAAATAAAACAAAACTAGCATCCGTTTAGTCTTAAATATATAAGATTATTATATGTTCTATTTTCCATTTATTTGAAATGTTTTAAGTTTCCTGATGTCAAGTCAATTATTAATTTTTCTCACAGATCCCTTCTTGAGTCAGGGGAATAGTTTCCATGGGATGGGTGGTCGTGACAACAAGTTTGCCCAGATGCGCTACAGTTTAAGACTGCTGAGAGCCATGGTCTACCTTGAAGAGGAGACTGTAAACAAGGACCTCTGTGAAAAGGGTACAATTCAACAGCTGATAGGTAAAATATAACATGTTCATTTACTGATGCATGCAGAATATCTGTAATTTTTTGTTCTTGTAGCTATGAAATTCTTACGTGTTTTCTTGATTTATGTGTCATATTGTTGCTATAAACCAGATTGTTGTTGTTTTTACTAAAACCTCATAATCATTAATTCTTTAAGCATTTGTTTTCTCAATTAAAACACGGTTCCTTTTAGAATTACCTTTACCTTTATTTCTTTTAGATTGGCTATTGTTTTTTTCATTCCCTTAGGGATAAGATCAGCACTTTTAGTGACTTGTTTGGAAGCAGTTTTAAAAGAGGATGACATTTTATTTCCCAATGCAGCTGGCATGCCAGAACACTGATGCACTGATGTATATAGGAATGCGCACAAGAGTTTCTTTTCTGTTATTAAATATCAGAATTTTGCTTGATTTTCTATTTAGAATTCATTATGCTAAGGTATCGTATTCCCAAAACACATACATGTTAGCCCCGTGCAAAACCCAGAACTGCTAAGCAAAAGCTTCATTCCCTTAGTCTTCAATGTTGCTTGAAAAGGTCAGAGTGATTTCATTCATATTCATACTCAGTGGCGGCCTCATGAATAACTGGTTGCCTTTACAGTATCCTTTGTTTGATATCAAGTATAAATGTTTACTTAAAAATACTTCTACCTCATAAATTAGAAAGTCTACCCTTCCATCAGTAGTGGAATGGCAGGGGGGTAACTTCCCAATTCATTTTAATAGCAAAGGAAAGAAGGATATTGAGAAAAGCTAGGAAAAAAACATTGCCTTTCTTCATAAGTTTGCTCAGGATGACCAAACGTAGAAGTAGATTTCATCATTCCCACTGTACAGTGTTCAGTCTTAAGGCCCCACACTAACTGAAGGGTTGGTTAGTTGGTTGGTTGTGTGCCGTGGAGAAGGGTCCGACTCATAGCGACCCTGTACAGGGTTTCTGAGGCTGTAAATCTTTACAGGAGCAGAAAACCTCATCTTTCTCCTGCGGAACAGTCGGTAGTTTCAAACTGCTGACCTGGAGATTAACTGCCTGACTCATAACCACTATACAACCAGAGCTCCTTAAAAGCATTGGAATTTTTATTGAAGATTAGTTTTTGCTCTAAGTCTAAAGGGAGTCAAGGAGAAATCATATTCTATATGTTCAGGAATAAATTTTAGTCCTACCTGAGCCAGGAAATGGAGTAGGGAAAGCAGAAGACAGTTAGCAAAGGTTCTTCTCCTCTTGTGACCTTTCTCCCTTAAGTTGAAAGCAGCTCCTCTTTATCTATCTAGTGAGGTTTTGGAGGCCAGAATCCTGTCTTATTGTAGTAGCTATGGACTCAGTAAATGGTCATTGCACTATACACCTCAGTGTCAACGTTTATGCGCCTTGTGTGGAAGATGACATTGCAGGCCATGCCCTTGCAGAGATCAAAGAAGAAATGTGCATCGTGGCAGCACAGCTGGCCTGGCCTTGCCCCACTGGCATCTGATGACTAGTATAGAAACTAAGAAGCTGGGGTTCACTTGGAAGGCTGGCCAGTCTTATTAGAATCCTTTATTGAATTGAGGGAGACTTGGTGCTGCTGCTGTGAAAGCGCTCGACTGCTAACTCTAAAGGTCAGCAGTTCAAAACCACCAGCCTCTCTGTGGGAGAAAAGTATGACAGTCTGCATCTGTAAAGACTGTCTTGTAAGTGCCTCAAGTCAGTTCCAACTCAGAGCGAACCTGCATAGGATTTCCAAAGAGCAACTAGTGGGTTTGAACTACTGTCCTTGTCCAGTGCTTACCCTACAATGCCACACCAAGATTACAACCTTGGAAACCCTATAATGCAATTACTATTTACTGAGTCCACAGCTACTATAATAAGGCTGGACAGTAAATAAGGAAAACTGTAGAAGAATTGATGCATTTGAGTTATGGTGTTGGAGGAGAATGTTGAAAGTGCCATGGGCTGCCAAAAGAATCAATAGATCTGTGTTGGAAGAAGTGCAGCCAGAGGCCAGGATGGCCAAACTTCGTCTCTCATACTTCAGACATATTGTCAGGAGGGACCAGTTGCTGGAGAAGGATATCATGTTTGTTAAGGTGGAGGGTCAGAGAAAAAGAGGAAGACCCCCAGCGAGATGGATTGGCCAAGTGGCAGCATCGATGGACTCAAGCGTGGCAACAGTAGTGAGGTTGGCCCAGGATCGGGCAGTGTTTCATTCTGCTATGAGTCGTATGAGGGTCGCTATGAGTCGGTACTGACTTGATGACACCTAACAGCAACAACATCATTCTATCAGTAAGCAACTAGTTGTTTTCAAGTTCTTTTTCATTTTTATTAGACTTGAAAGAAGGATTTTAAAGGACACATGAATATTACCACCTAAAGACACCTGAAGGCCAACATTAGAAAATGATACAGAAAGAACAGGAACAGAAATACACATAGTGAGGTTTCCAAGTTGGCTTAAATTGACTCATTAACCATGGGAAGAGGCAAGCTGCAGTGAAGCGTTTGGGTTGCATCTTTGCAAAGGCTATCATCTCTGCCTCATGAATCTCCTGATTTTTAACACACCTTTATTGCTGGGGCAAAATAGAAGGTTACTAAAATACCATTTAATGGCATTCCATTCATTAATTCTGTGCCACATGAGGGTAAGTACAAAAAGTATTGCTAGGTTCCAGTTCACACAAACTTAGGTTTATTCCAAACATGCTTCAATGTGTCTCTGCAATCAGTGGATAAATAACTGCAGACAAGCTCCCTCAGAAATACTCTTGATTTAGTCTCATTGGGGTACCAGTCAAAACAGTAGCTTCCAAGGGGACCTGCTGGACCAGTTAAATCCAAGATAGAGAGTTCAGCTCAGAAGGTTGTGGGGACTATTTGCAGAAATTCCAAAGGTGTAATCTTGATAGATTTCTCAAAGGTTTACTATGAAACAGTTTTAAGAAAATGGAAAACTACATTGATGTGAAAAAGACCAGAAAAGTTGCACTAAGGAATTGTTTTCTGTCACAATAATGCCCCTGCTTATTCTTCAAAGGTAGCAAGGGCTGTCCTACTGGAATTTCACTGTGACACTTTACAATGAAAAGCCCTTATCTTGCTACTTTAGATATCTTTCTGCTACCCAGACTCAAAGAGCATTGATAATATGAGCGCTTCAGGGATTCCAAAACTGCCCTTTTGATGTGTAAATTTTAAAAATACACATTTCTTTTGGAAAGTGTTGTTGTTGTTGTTAAGTGCCCTTGAGTCAGTTCTGACTCATAGCAACCCAGTATAGGGTTTCTGAGGAGCAGCTGGTGAATTTGAACTACAGATCTTGTGGTTCAAAGAACCTTACGGTCCTTTGCTTATCCTAGAAATACTGTCTTCAAATGTGTATAGATCTATATGGAGGATGTGTTAAGAAATAATATCTTCATATTTTGATATTTTTGTTTAATAAGGACTTCTATGATTTTATAACAATACTTTTTACCTCTCCTGGCATATGTGGGGCTACTGACTTCATCCTTCTTTCCACATCTGTGGAATGAATGCAAGTCCTACCTTTTGAATAGTTCTTAGTTTAGCTTATATAAAGAATGCCTGCCTTGAAACAGTACTTCTTTAATAAACTATCTGTATAAAATCAAATTGACAGCAACCCAGGTTACGTAGAAGCTTAGGGAGCTGTGAGTTTGTGTCAACAGGTGAGCAACAATTCGGGAAGGAGGGTGAGAATGGTTTTACAACTTGAAGAATGTTATCAGTGTCACTGGGTTGTACAGGTAGAAATTATTGATTTGATATGTGTTTTGCTACATATTTTTCAACAACGATAAAAAAGAGAGGGGAGGAGAAATTTCTTCTAGCCATGAAAACTTTATTAGAAAGGATTTTTAAACAATCATTAGTTAAATTAAAATATAGTATCCAATAACTTGATATTTCTTCATTTTATTCATACCAGAAATCTTCAAAAACACAATAAACAAGCCTAATGAAAAGGAAGAGGCCATTGTTTTGGAAATTCAGTCTGATCTATTACTTATCTTATCTGGCCTTTGTGAACATCAAAATCATCGGAAAGTAAGTATGCCTGTGGATCAGTTTTGTTTCGATCTCCCAGTCACCTAATGCTCAGAAAGCTTTCTTAGTAAGTGCTAATAAAGTTTATAAACACTTAATATTCTTTTTTTATAATTTGAATATAATTAGATTGGAGTAAAATGTACATATCTTAAGTATGTAGTTGGATGAGTTCTGACAAATGTATCTATCCATGTAACCAATCAGGACATAAAATACTGCTATCAACCTATATCTACAGTTTCCTCTTACTATTTACCCGTCATCCTCCAATCCCCCTGCACTACTTTTCTAAATTTATCTTCATAGATTATTTTGTGTCTTCTTCAACTTTATATGAATGAGTTACACATTATATACTATTTTGTCTTTGCTTTCTGTCCCCCATTATCATGTTCCTGAGATATATCCTTGCTGTTGAATGTACCAATAGATCATTTCATTTTAATGTTGAATATTTTTCCATTGTATGAATATGCCAAATTGTATTTATCCATTCTCTATTGATGTAAATTAAGTTGTTCCATTTGGGGCTATTATGAATAGAGTTTCAATGAATATTTATAAACTATCATTTTGTGGACATATATGCTCTCATTTATCTTGGTAAATACCTAGAAGTGGAATTGCTGGGTCATAAGGTTGGTAGGATATATCTAACTTCTTAAGATGCCATCAAACAGTTTTCCAAAGTGGGGTTAACGATTATAAATGGTTCTGGTTTTGTTTTCATTTGAACTGGTTTCATATCTAGTATTAACAATTAAAACAAGATCTTAAGAGCCTCTGATAATTTTAAGACTCCATAACAAATTCTGAGTCTCAAGATTGATAACATAATAGCAAGAGAAGAAATTGGAAAGATAAAAATTAAAAATATTGTAGTTCCGTGGAAGAGATTTGAGGGGAAGGCCCGGGCATGGTGAATTCATACTTCGCTCGAAGCTTTGATGCAAGTTCTTTTTATATTGCAGGACCCTGTACTTATATCCTTCTAAAACAGAATAATAATCTTGTGTACTAAAACCCAGAACTAAACAATTAGGCAATGAGAAAGATAACTAGTAGAGGAATAATATAACTAGTAATAACTTCATATAAATTATTAACAGCTTTAACTACTTTAGTGTACTTATTTCCTCTTGAGAGCATTAGAGAATCTTCCATGGTAGGCTGTTAGCCTCTCAGTTGTTACTGTCTAATGTTCATTTGACATGCTGCTAGACTACATCCATTATAGCATGGAAGAAAATCATGGGGCAGGTCTTACAGATTATTTTTATATAATAGTCAAGAACAAAAAATATGATAGGACATTGTTGATTAATAGTGATTCATGCTCTCCTAAAATGATTAGCTTTATAATAGTGTTTCTTAGACTCCTGAGAATAAGTTAAAAAAAAAAAGGTTTTGTACTAAGAAAACTTTCCCCAGTAGTGTTGTTAAATTTTTCTGGTAGGAAAAAAAAAGTTTTACAAGACAAGATGAAGTGTAAAAGAAGGGACTATTTATTTTTTGCAAGGAATAATTTTAAATAAACCTCTTAAACAGGACATTTTCGGAACTGAAGGAGTAGATATAATTCTTCATGTAATGAAAACAGACCCGAAGAAATTACAGAGTGGATTAGGCTATAATGTACTACTATTCAGTACACTGGACAGCATTTGGTAAGTATGACTGTAATCAAGTTAGATAGAAGTTTACCAAGGCATAAGAAAATTACCTCAATAGCGTTGCATGTCAATTTTCTTTACTCACACCAGGCCAGGAAGATAGCAGTCTTTTTCATGAAAATAGTCCGAAAATATAGTAATGTCCTTTGGAAAATAATCTTGTCCATGACTCAGATTAAAAACCATTATTGTATCTAACTTAAATCCTTGTTTTTGTGATTTGAACCAATTATTCTTTGACCTAATCTTCAGTAACTACAAGTATCCACTGTTACTGATACTTTTGAAGATACTGATGTTTTTGAAGACTGTTGAATTCCTCATTCATTTTCTCTTCAAGGAGTTGTAAACATAATTAGACTAGTACTAACCAGTATTATCCACCACTCGTCTGTCACTTTATCGTACTGTGGTGGCTTGTGAGTTTCTGTGATTCTGAAAGCTATGCCACCAGTATTTTAAATACCAGCAGGGTCACCCATGGTGGGCAGATTTCAGATGAGCTTCCAGACAAAGACAGACTAGGAAGAAACAGTGATGAACTACTTCTAAATATTTAGTCACTGAAAACCTTATGAATAGCAGAGAAACACTGTCAGATATAGTCCCAGAAAATGGGCGCCTCAGTTTGGAAGGCATTCAGAATGCGACTGGGGAAGAGCTGCCTCCTCAAAGTAAGAGTTGACCATGATAACCCAAATGGACTAAAGCCTGTGGAACCTTCATTTGCTGACGGGGCACAACTCAAAATGAAGAGAATCAGTTGTAAACATCCATTGAAAATCAGAACATGGAATGTACCAACTATGAATCTGGAAAAATTGGAAGTTGTAAAAAATGAAATGGAACGCATCAACATCGATATCTTAGGCATTAGTGAGCTGAAATGGACTGGTAT